AATGACCTATATGAAATAAGAACAGGATGTTATAAAAATGAAGCTTCACAAGTAAAATAAGAAAAAAAACTCTTGGAAATCAGAAACTGAGATTCTCAACAGGTTGGAAGATAAAATTGAGAAAAACCTTCCAGAAAGTAAAACAGAAAGATAACAGGAAAGCTGGAGGACTGTTCTAGAAGGCCACATGTACTGAGTAAGTGATCCAGAAATAGAGAACAAGGGAAAAATGACTATGTAATTACCAGGGAGTAATATGAAGAAATGTTTAGAACTAAAGGCTGTGACTCTCCAGATTAAATGATTTCATCAAATGCATAGCATAATGGTTGGAGTAAAACACACACACCCACCCACACACACACACACACACACACACACACACACAGACACACACACACGTACACACACATACACACACATGCACACACATACACACATGCAGGCACCAACATACACACACACTCACACACACACCTCCAAGGCACATCACTGAGAAATATCAAAATATTTTAAATGTTTGAAAAAAAAAAAAGCCAGGCAGGGTGACTCATGCCTGTAATCCCAGCACTTTGGGAGACTGAGGCAGGTGGATCACCTGAGGTCAGGAGTTCGAGACCAGCCTGGCCAACATGGTGAAACTGCGTCTCTACTAAAAAAAATACAAAAATTAGCCAGGCATGGTGGTATATGCCTTGGTCCCAGCTACTCGAGGGGCAGGGTGGGGGGTGGCTCACTTCCACGCTGCAGAGAGCCATGATCAAGATACCATACTCCAGCCTGGGCAACAGAGTGAGACCCTGTCTCAAACAAACAAACAAACAAACAAACAAACTAAAAATATGCAAGGCCTTAAAAATTTACTTCCCATGCACCGTTTCCTAGGAAGGTATTGGAGAATGGGCCTATCAGGGTAAGAGCGTAAGCCAGAAAAGAAGACGGGGTTGATGGGAGAAGGCTCTATTCAGCATAGCAGACAGCCACGGGAATGATGGAGAAGTCGCTGAGTCCGGGCCAGCCTGCAGTTCCAGGGAACACGTGTCAGATGGTGCAAGGGAGGAAGATCCCGAGGAAAAGGGAACTGGCAGATTCTTTGAAGCACTGGACCACATAAAAGATTTCTGTGAACAAAATGCACCCCAAAGAGAAAGCAAATTTTTAATTTGAGTGAATTAATAACTTCAGGAAAGACAAAAAGATTGACAGGAAAGGAAATGTCATCATTGAGCAATTGGGTTCAACAGAGAACAATGCTTTCATGAATATAATCATGGAAACGCATGTTGTGGTGACATTATGTTGAAAGATTACAGGGAAGGAAAGCATATGGTAAGAGGGTTAGGTAGAGATGCTAAATCCTCATCTGAAATCAATAAACGATGTCTAACATGGAAAAATCAAGAAAGAACAGCATCAGTGTATTTTGTAGAAACGTAGAGCTGATGCCAGAAGAAACAAATAGCAGTTGAAAATGGCAGCCTTGCTGGGCACGGTGGCTCACGCCTGTAATCCCAGCACTTTGGGAGGCCAAGGCAGGAGAATCATGAGGTCAGGAGTTCAAGACCAGCCTGACTACCATGGTGAAACCCTGTCTCTACTTAAAAAAAAAAAAAAAAAAAAAAACAACTTAGCCAAACATGGTGGCACGTGCCTGTAATCCCAGATACTCAGGAAGCTGAGGCAGAAGAATCTCTCAAGCTTGAGAGGTGGAGGTTGCAGTGAGCCAAGATTGCACCACTGCACTCCAGCCTGGGGGACAGAGCAAGACTTTGTCAAAGAAAAGAAAAGAAAAGAAAAGAAAAGAAAGGAAAAGAAAAGAAAAGAAAAGAAAAGAAAAGAAAAGAAAAGAAAAGAAAAGAAAAGAAAAGAAAAGAAGAAAAGAAAAGAGAAAAGAAAAGAAAAGAAAGAGAGAAAGAAAAAGAGAAAGAAAGAAAGAAAGAAAAGAAAGAAAGAAAGAAAATGGTAGCCTTTGGTGCATGAGACAGGGTGAAGGAGGAAAGAGGAATTTTTGTTTTTCATCATGAGCCTTTAAATACTATTTAACTCTTTGTTTGCTATTTGCATATCTGTAATAAAAAATATACATGAAAAATGGAAAGGCAATGAAGAGACAGTCCACAAAAAAAGAACTGCAGCTGACCCTTAAACATATGAAGAGACGTTTGACTACTTAAAAATAAGAAAAATGCAAATTCAAGCTAAATTGAGATATTCTTTCTCATTTATCAGATTGGTAAAAATTCAGCAGTTGGATGACACCCTCTTTTGGTAAGGCTGTGGGGAATGCAACATGATTCTGCCCCTATCAAGGAGAATATGCAGTAACCACTAAGACTTAAGATACATTTGACTCAGCGAATCTTCTTCAGGACATGCACATGAAAAAGACTTATGTTTAAGATTATTCATTACAACATGGTTTATCATAGCAAAATGTAGATTAGAAATGATCCAAATGTCTGTCAATGGGGAAGTGTTTAATAAACTATGCTCAGTCCCTTAGCGGAAAGTATTTATTTTCTCAATGAATAAAAGGGGGAAAAATGACATAATTTTACAACCGGCTTCCAGGCCTTCCGAAGCACAGAGAGCTATGTCAAAAGCCTCCCAGAGGCGGCGGTTGCAGTGAGCAGAGATCGCATCACTGCACTCCAGCCTGGTGACAGAATGAAACTCCATCTCAAAAAGAAAAGAGAAGAAAAGAGCCTCCCAGTTAGAGCAGACTCCCTGACCTTCCTAAACCTGAGCATATGAAGAACCCCTTTTGAAACCTTAGACACAAAGCAAGAGAGGCAGTGAGACCACGTCTGATTTATCGTCAGCCCAAGGTCTAAACCCCAGCTTGGCTACTTTTTGATTCACTGTGACACTCTGGCCTTCGGCTCCTCATCTGTAGGATGGGGATAAGACTCCCAGCCTTGTCGGGTTGCCATGGGGATAGAGAGGACTCGTGTGTGTGATACGGAAGCTAGAGGGCCTGGCCCACCATAAGCGCTCCACAAACAGGAGCTGATATTAATAGTAGCACCGGAAAAAAGAATCCTGTCTCCAGGACTGTACTCATTGTAGAAGGAAAGTCATGTTGGAAATCTCAAGAGTAGAAGCAAAAGTCACTGCTCTGAGGAGAAGAATTGAAGGAATTTCCTCTCATGCTCAGGCGGTTTTGGGAGAGGCTCTGCATACGCAGGAGACACCTACACCCTCGTGTTCTCCAGCTTCTCACTGCCATCGCCTCCTTTGATGACTGGCAGAGACTCCTAAGTACCCTAGATCGTCAAGGCTAAAAGGACCTGAGCCCAAATACCCGTTTAGAATGAGAAAACCAAGGACCAGAGAAGGCCAGTGATGAACTCAAGGCCACACGGCCAGCGGACCTGGTCCACAGCCAGGCCAACCCACAAAACTGCTACCAGGTATGCATTTCACGATAGCAAGGAATACAAAAGAATAAACCTAAATATGAGTAGCCAGGGCATTGAACTAACCTGACTTTACTCACTCCTTATAGGGCCATAATCAGTGCAAAGCATATGATGGAGGTTGGCGGAGAAAGCAAGGTGTTTCTATCAACCCATTTTGAAGGCTGTGTTGATGCTTTACATTTTACACACTTCCCACGGAATGAAACCCCAAACCTGGTGGCAGCTTGCATTGCAGTAACAAGGATTTCCAGAATGTCCCCCATCCCTGCGCCAGCAATGACTAGATATGTAATGCTGAGCTTTCATGTCCTCATTTGTGAAAGGAGATATCAGCCACCTTCATCATGCCGTTATAAAAATAAAATCAGGTAACTATGTCTGTCTGGCATGTAGCAGCCACTGCCTTCCCCAAAGCCAGCTGTCTCCTTGCCTTATCAGCCCCGAAGACCTCATCAGTCCTCCGATCCTGCTCTGTGAGTTACAAAGAAAGGTTTTTTTCCCCAGGCACTTCAGGGAAAAAAAAAAAAAAAAAAGGAAAGAGAACACCTTCCATAATACTTTCATAGACTAATGGCTTTCAATTTCCTCAGCCAGAATCAAGAGTTAAGAAGAACCTCATTAAGAAGAATTATAAGGGTATTTCTTTTCAAGTTCCCAAAATGCCTTCTTCCTTATCCACATTGCCCTTGCAGGCTGCTTCCCCTGTGTCCACGCTGACATGAAGAACAGCGGATCCAGGAGTGTTCACTGGGTTCCTGCTGCTGTAAAATTCCTACCCCAGGGACGTGCTCATGCAAAACTCTCAATAAATCGTTCTTAGCTGAACCAAGCAGAATCAGGAAAAGAATTCCAAGGAAGATATATTGAGCATCTACTTACTATAGGCTAGACACTGGGTAAGACCCCTTCCGTGCTCTTGTTTAATGATGACAATCCTGAGAGGTGATCACCATTATCCTCACCTTACAGATGACAGAACAGACATTCAGAGCACTGTGCCTTGCCTAAAGTTTCACTGTTGAGAAGGAACTGGGTCTCCTGACCCCAGGACTTCCCACTATGAGACCACCAGTTTATTGCAGCTGGAGGCCTCTCGCATCTAAAGCCTCGTTATAACTGCGTTCCCTTTCTGCACTCTGCCTGTGCACACAGAAGCCCCTAATTTGTAACAAGTCATTTGATAACTCCAAGAGAGGGGCCACATCCTTTTTCTCTATGTCTGTTGATTAACGAAGACAACACTATGCTTCCAACACATTAGTCAGACCAAGGGGAAAAATCCCTGACTTCAGGGATTTTCCATCCTTTGGAACAAGGAAATATACGCAGAAGGTTTACCGTAAAACATAAACATTGCTTTTTAAATGATGCCAGTCTCTCTTTTAATGTGGCCTGAATCCTAAAAATTTAAAGTGTGATTGTGTCCATTCTTATATGTTAAGTAAACACACAAGCCTTAATATACGTGTAAGCCATAAATACCACGGGCAACTGTTTAAGAGTGGGTTCTCACACTAACGCAGCTCTTCCTTACCCCTTCCTTGCACCCAGTGTGACTCCAGTCCTAGGCGTGCTAACCTGAAATAGTTGCTGGCCGCGGCAAGCACCACGCGGTGGCAGGAGAATTCCTGAATGTCCACACACAGGATGACGTCTGTCAGCGCGTTTTCCATTCGCAGGGTCTCCAGGCCACTCTGAAGGATTAAGGAGAGTCCCGCGTCGTCAAAGTTTACCTTCTCCCCATTTAAGATCTCCACCAAGTCTCCCCTCTTCCGGGAGGGCTCATCTGCAGAAGGTGCCAGGGGCCCTTCCAAACTCTTCTCTACCACGTCACCCATGGTCCAGGCGCCCCTTTGTCCTGCCGTCAACATGGATTCTGAAGGAGCGCCCAAGTGTCAGGCAGGCCCCATTGCAGAAGCTGAGCGGATTTCCTGTGCAGGGCCCCCCACTTATCAGCAGCTGTCACACACGCAAAACAGGAAGTCTCGCACTTTCTCATCCTGTTACTACAAATGCCAGCAACTTCTATCCTTCTTCTTTCTGTGAATAATCACAGGGTTAGACATGACTTAGAATAGGCGTGTGGGAGGGGGCTCTGGAGGAGGAGTGGCCTCTTCGAGTCCCCTGTGAGTGCCATATGTTTATTTTGGTGCATCGCCCACCTCACATCCGTGAGCAGGAAGCCTCCGTTGGTGGCTAGGACACGCGCACCCCTGGTGCTTCCATAACCCAAGTCATCAATGAGAGGATGGACAGGAGACATTCCATAACCCTCCCAGGAGTCTGAAACCCCGCAATGATCCGACCCCTGCCCTTTGCATACCTTGGAAAGCCCCACTTATCCCTGGCAGTCTCATTTCCGGCAGCACTGCAGATCATGCACCTTCATCCTCCTCCCTGCGCAGGGAAAAACGATGTCATGGCAAACACGAATGTCTTCCCCCCACAGAAAAATGTCTGGGCCAGGCACAATGGCTCACGCCTGTAATCCCAACATTTGGGAGGCCGAGGTGGGCGGATCACCTGAGATTGGGAGTTCGAGACTAGCCTGACCAACATGGAGAAACCCGTCTCTACTAAAAAAATACAAAAATTAGCCAGGCATGGTGGCGCATGCCTGTAATCCCAGCTACTAGCAGGCTGAGGCAGGAGAATTGCTTAAACCCCGGAGGCGGAGGTTGCAGTGAGCTGAGATCATGCCTTTGCACTCCAGCCCAGGCAATCAGAGCAAAACTCCACCAAAAAAAAAAAGTCTGTTTTTCAGATATGCTTTGGGGGCACAAAAGAAATGATTTCTGAAATTCCATCACCAGCATCTTCCCAGAAGATGAGTCAGGGTAGGTCCAACACCAGCATCTTCGCAGAAGATGAGTCAGGGTAGGTCCAACACCAGCATCTTCTCGGAAGAGTCAGGGTAGGTCCACACTTAGTTGCTCCAGCAAGCCTCAAACTAGCCTAGCGTCCACTGACCGTGCATCTAACGGGGGATCCTGAAGTCTTTTTATTACCTCTGCAGGTCTCAGTTAAGTAGTAATTACCGTCATTATTAAAAATCTCATGATATCCTGGGGAATTTATAGGAGCGTATTAGTTAGTGTTCTCCAAAGAAACAGAACCAAAAGGATACCCAGAGAGGCATAGCAGAGGAAAATTATTAGGAGAACTGCTCACGTGATTACGGAGGCTGAGAAGTCACATGACAGGCCCCTGAGGGCTCAGTTCAAGTCCAAAGGCCTCAGAACCAGGGAAGATGGTGTAACTCTCAGTCCAAGGCCAAAGGCCTGAGAATCCAGGGGGAGGGGCAGACTGGGGAACATCTTGAGTCCGAAGGCGAGGATCCTGGAATTCTGTTGCTCAGTGCAGTAGATGACAGTGTCCAGCTCCAGGAGGCAGAGACATTCAGCTTTCCTCTGTGTTTGTTTTCTCCGGGCCCCTGGCTGTCGGGACGGTGCCCACCCACACTGAGAGTGAATCTTCTCTACCGAGTCCACTCAAGCTCACACACTAAGCTCTCCTGGAAACAACCTCACAGACATGCCCAACGCAAGTGCTTTCCCAGGTTGCTAGGTATTTCTTAGCCCAGTAAACTTGACATCTAAAATTAACCGTCACAAGTACAGTCATGTCCAGCACAATGATATTTCAGTCGGTGATGGACTGCGTATACAATTGTGGTCCCGTAAGATTACAATGGAGCATATAAAGAAACCTGACATATAGCACGTACTGGCATGGCAGATCAAGTCGGGGAAATGGCTGATTTCAGTAACGGTGCTGCTCTCATTCACCTCCTAGCAGTTGGGAGCAGTAGCAGTCCTCCCAATCAACAGTCTCAGCCTTTTTCTCCATCCTGCTCAGTGGAGATTGAAGCCCCCTCCAAGAGTTTCAGTTCTGCTCCATGGATCATGACTCCTACAATCAAGATCTTTGATATTACCCCCTCAACTCGTTCTTTATCCACAGCTCTACCAATTAATGTGCCTTTTGCCTTCGTAATGGAATAGCCCATCAAAAGTGGTTTAAACCAATAGGAATCTCACATGCTAAGAAGCCAAGGAGGAAGAGTCATCAAGAGAGCTGACTAGAAGTGCCCAACACTTACCTCCTCCACAAAGAACAACCAAACCGGTAAGCAGATAACCACACACTGAATGACGTCTCTAAGAGAGAACACCGGAATTCCGCAAGAAATCAACAGAGACCCATAGAGGCGTGGAAAGAAAACAGCTGGGAAGTAAAGCAGATGGCCTTGCTGGCTGCGACTGGCTCAGAGCCAAGAGGGACTCTCCATTGTGGAGAAAGGTGAGCAGTAGGTCCCTAGCTGTCCACATCCCCACCCTGGATGCTCATGATTCTAGCCACAAGAGAGCTCCTTAGCTCCCACAGGCCCTGAGCCTGATACAGGGAACTGATACGGAGCCTGGAGTCCACACAACTGCACTGTTGCAGAAAGGGGGTTGGTACTGGTCCCACTCACCCCGAAGACCCCAACAACTGCAACACAGTGCCATTTTGAGAGCCCATATACCAGCCATAGTCGGTGAGAAAATGCAGTGGGAAAGTAATGCCATTCACGATGATAATAAAACAGATGTAAATGCCTAGAGATCACCACAGCCAGCAACATAGAGAAAACTGACAAACTCCACTAAGAGATGTGAAAGAAAACTTAAATAAATATACCAAGTTCCTTTATGGAAAGACTAAATATCACTCAAAGGACCAGTTCTTTCCAAATGCATTTGCACATTTATTTTACTCTAATAAAAATTACAAGAAAATTTGGAGTTTAGGTTTTCTGTTTTGTTTTGTTTTGTTTTTTGACAGAGTCTTGCTCTGTCGCCCAGTCTGGAGTACAGTGGCCTGATCTCAGCTCACCGTAACCTCTGCCTCCCGGGTTACTGTCATTATTAAAATCTCATGATATCCCGGGGAATTTATAGGAGTGTATTAGTTAGTGTTCTCCAGAGAAACAGAACAAAAAGGATACCCAGAGAGGCATAGCAGAGGAAAATTATTAGGAGAACTGCTCACGTGATTACGGAGGCTGAGAAGTCGCATGACAGGCCCCTGAGGGCTCAGTTCAAGTCCAAAGGCCTCAGAACCAGGGAAGATCATGTAACTCTCAGTCCAAGGCCAAAGGCCTGAGAATCCACGGGGAGGAGGAGACTAGGGTAAGAATTGAGTCCAAAGGCTTCTCCTGCCTCAGCCTCCCAAGTAGCTGGGACTACAGGCACGCACCACCACACCTGGCTAATTTTTGGTATTTTTAGTAGAGACGGGGTTTTGACATGTTGGCCAGATCGGTTTCAAACTGCTGGGCTCAAGCGATCCACCGCCTCGGCCTCCCGAAGTGCTAGGACTGCAGGCATGAGCCACCGCCACACCTGCCCCGAGTTTAGGTTAAATGTAAACCAATGGTATCAAGATAGGCTCAGAGCACAGTGGGACCAAATGTAAAAGGAGGAACATTAGGAATAGACTTTAAAGTGGACCCAGAGTCTTTTCTCCCTGGAAACTACAAAACTGAAATAAATGTGGAATGTTGTATTCAGAAGCCCCGTGTCTGAGTTGGAAATTGAGACTGCTTCCCTGTGTCAAAGTGATCTGGATCTTCCAGACAACTGAGATGTCTCATTCTCACTGGTCCAGTGGCAAACAGCAAAGTTTCTGATGTGATTTTTAGAAAACATGTTTCTCAGTAACAGTAAGTAGTCACTCAAAGAAGGATATTCTTGTGACACATTTATAGTTGCAAGGAGTCGCTCGAAGAAACGTTTCTTTCTTTTTAACATTTCATCCCTGTCTGACTTCCTAGCCTGATGAATGGGAGGGCAGATTTTTACTTTCCAATCTGACCTTTTCTTTCTCAGTCCTTTGAAGGTTAATAGTCATGAATTTAAATTGAGACCTGGCAGATGGCCAAGGACAGCTTCCAAAACTCACATGCTTAGGCCGGGTGTGGTGGCTCATGTCTGTAATCCCAGCACTTGGAGAGACTGAGGCAAGCAAATTCCTTGAGCCGAGAAGTTCCAGACCAGCCAGAGCAACATGACGAAACCCCATCTCTACAAAAAAATATAAATTAAAAAAATTAGTCAGATGTGATGGCATGCATCTGTAGTCCCAGCTACTTGGAAGGCTGAGGCAGGAGGGCTGCTTGAGCCCAGGAGGTGGAGGCTGCAGTGAGCCATGTTCTCACCACTGCATTCCAGCCTGGGCAACAGGACGAGACCCTGCCTCAAAAAAAAAAAAAAAAAAAAAAAAAAAAGTCATATGTTGAGCTGTGTTCAAGAGAACTATGGAGGCTCCAGGTAGTTAAACTGAATCTGTCGTCAGACTTCAGTGTCAAGGTGAAGTAGAGATGAAGCCAGGTAAATGAAGGAGAACTAGGTAAGCAGGGATAGAAGATGAGAGGAACAGGGCGGGAATGCAACACGTCTAGGATTTTTGCATATGTCAGAGCTGGGCCCCAGGACGCCCACTTAGCCCTACTGGTGGCCTTCTGCTTGGCTAAGGGGTCCTCACCGAAAGATGTAGGACCAACACAGACCCCACGCCTCACCCCACAGCCGCAGCTGTTGTGACCTTGCTCCTGCGACCTTGCTCCTGCACATAGCTGTCCAAACTTCTCCCTGGTCACTCTCCTCTGCTGTATATATTTTAATGCTCTGAATCTGTGTTCAAAGTACTGCTTTGCTGGCCGGGCATGCTGGCTCACGCCTACAATCCCAGCACTTGAGGCCACAGCGGATGGATCACTTGAGGTCGGGAGATCAAGACCAGCCAGATCGACATGGAGAAACCCTGTCTCTACTAAAAATACAAAAAAAAAAAAAATTAGCCAGGCTTGGTGGTGCCTGCCTGTGATCCCAGC